ATAGTTGAGTCTTTCTTCTTTCCCTGTACCCATTCAGGAGCTGCTTCTTGTGTTTCCTCCGCTTTCAAACTACGGCTAGGCATAGAGATTAGGAAATGTGTTTCTTATAAATCCAAAACATTTATGTCTTCAAATGCCCGGCCCCAATAATCCCACTAATTTCCTGAGTGCTTGTGAACTGTCCTATACGGGGCAGGCTTCTCTCGATCAAAGTTTATTAAGTAGAGGTTCTCATATGGAGACATTGCTGAGCAGTAGGAAATGATACGGGGCTTTTTCATTTCCCTTTAAATGAGCTGGCTGGCTGGGCCTTGAACAATATGGGCATGGTCGTCCTATGTTTCATGCTTACTACCTTCACTGCTTTAGCTTTTCTGCCCTTCCTGCTTCCAGTGCCTCCAACTATCACCATCTTTACCATCACCATTGGCACTTTCTTTTCTTTACTCACTGGCTGTGTTCTGGTTCTTCTATTTCTTCCTGCCTCATATTTGGTAGGAAGGAGTGACCTCAGACCTCCACTTACTGACACGCAAAACATCTGGAAGCATTCTGCATAACAGCATCAAGTAATGCTGAACCCATCCGAGATGGGATTTGGGAAGGTGTCTTTCCAGGCACCATGCTCTCTTCCAGTTGTGATCTGCAAGAAAAAACAGGAAAGTTGCCCTCTGAAGAGCCAAGAGTCGTAGTGCTCCTTGGGTCCAACCAGGCTGGTGAGTGCTGTCCTTGAGATTCACTTCCTGACATCCCTGCGTATGTGCGGAGCATCGCAAAGCGTAGGGGAAGTTGGGTCTGCAGCAGAGCCCTGCTTGGCTCTGCTTGGGGCATATCTCTCTGCAGTTCATTCAACTTCCTTATTTTGTTTTTCTCTGTGCTGTTGTTGTAACATAGATTTCAACTGTTGATGACTTGAGAATTTAAAGCTGGGCTGCGCATCTGTTCGCTCACATTAACACTGTGCTGTGCGAGAGAGCCGACATTGCTGCCAAGGCCATCAGCAGCCCAGAGCCTTTTTTTTGTCCTTAAAAACTCATCAATTTGCATTGAAAAATAAATCATTCGGCTTCTGCCACAGGCGATCGTCTAATGCTGTACTACAAGATCTTAAAGAATTGGGTCCTTATTGAAGCTGACAATGGAATTTTGCTTCCCTGGGATATTTTAGCATACCTTAAGGCATGTGAATTTGTTACAACTGCTGCTTTCTGCTGTTCCTCGTCACTAATACCATTATCTTCAGATGGAACTAACATGCTTCTCTAATGAGGAGCGCAGTACACAAAATCACCATTTAGAAGTAATCTTGCTCACGGAAGAAGCCTGGAAGGAAGATTTGCTTTTTCATACAACAAAATGTCTACAAACCTCAAAAATAAAAGCATCAAGTGTTTAGTGCCTTGGCACGCTAATCCAGCTGATCTGAATCTAGCAAAAAGAACCTGGAATGAATCATTCTGATGTATAAACTCCTCTCCATCTTCCGCCCCTCATTGCTCAGGACAGTGGGAAGCCTGGAAACTCCACGTTGCAATGAAATAGGCACCAAAAGGTGCCAGATCCCTGAGGGGCTATGGAGACCCTGCACGAATCACAGAATGCATTCAGAACAAATTCTGTCCTACGGAATTTGATTTATCAGTGTTGGGTTTTTTTCCCCTCTTCTGGCCCCAGTTTTTCCATTCCTGGATAAATGAGTCAGAAGAATGGGAAAAAGGGAAATCTGACCTTTTTTGAAGGCAACCAAATGGTTTTTGGGCTGGCCATGGCCTGTGTGTCCCTGCCATGTGTCAGTGCAGTGATTTCTTGGAACTGTGCAAACCAAGACATATCTGGGATTGCAACAAACATCCACAGCATCAGGAACGACACAAGGAAAGATACCACATCTCTGGGAACCCCAGGCAAATGTTGAGCTGTCTCTACATTCATCTGGGCTAAATTCCTGAGCAGCTGGAGAAAGCACATCCAGGAATATCAGCCATATGGTAGGCTTCCCGCTCACCAGCAGAGCTCCTCTGGCCCCAAAGTCCTAGAAAGCAGTGCTGGTCGAGCATGGAAATATCCCTAGCTGATAGAGATTGCTCCATTTGAGGAGGTGGCTGAGAGTGCAGGATCCAAGCCACGTCTCTGCCGCCAGTTTTGCCAGCGTGGTTGAACCCATTTATTCTTACCAGCAAAGCTTTCAACAAGAGATGGCTCGGTGGGAGAGCCTCACGGGATGATTTCTGGTTGACCACAAGTGACAGCTGGGCTCACAGCTATCGCTGACCAGAGGCAGAGGTGCTGCCAAGATTTCATTCCCAGCCATGAAGAAGGAGCACATCCCAGCTGGAGGAGTCAGGAGAACATTCTGGAGATGGTGAACATCCCTGCTCGGTGAGGTCACTGCAGCACCAGGCAGTTTATCAGAGCCCATACCTGTGCTGAGACCCCACCAACATGGAAAGGTGGTCTGGAACAACTAGGGACAGCAAGACCCTGTCTGAACACAGCACAGTCTCCTGTGGACGAGTTTAATGCTGTGGACAGGACTTGGGCTGTTGAAGATGGGATTCGTTTTGCTTTTCCCTTCTCCCATGTGACTCAAGTCCTATATCTGCACTTCAAGATTCAAGCGTGAAGTTGAATGCAGATTTTAGGAGCAATTTGGAAATGTCTCTTAGGAGGAAGAGTGAAGGTCCAAACCTGCCTTCCCAGAAAGCAAAGACATTCTGGGTGCAGGGCAGAAGCGAATTTCAGTCATGGCTTCTATGGGAGATGCATCAGGAGTGGGAACCAGGCTGTACAAACAACCCCTCCAATTTGGCTGTGGGATCCCTGTGACCTCCTGCAGGAACAAAGGGCCCATCTGCCCTGCACGTTTATAAGGGGTTCATCCAATCCATGCACTGCTGCCTGCATTTGTTCAAAGTGTAACACAGCCTGATCCTGGGGAGGCAAGTACAAGTAACGTGGAAGTCTTTGATTCAAGGGCCTTTGCAGCACAATGCTTCAAGAGCACATCTCAGTGTGCAGGATTATTCTGCTGGAGAAGATTAGCAACTCAGCCATCACCAGGGCCAGGAACAGATTTAGCTTAAAATGGGCTTTCTCCAGTTCACAAGAAATATCCATTGCCTGTAATTCCAAAAAATCTTACTGCCCATTCCACGAAGAAAAAATATGATGCAACTAATTAGAAATCTCAGTTGCATCATTACTCTTCACGGCTTGTTTTGTGAGTGATACTGCTACTCAGTCTCCAAATTTTCAGGCCAATAAGCATCTCAGTATTGGTGCAGAGAAGGTCAGCTGTGCAATGACATATATATACCCAAAATATATAATATCCAATAGCTATCTGATATATCCAGTGATGTATACATGGCACAGTTGGGTGTCTGGTTCCTCGTCCCATGTCGGGTTGGCTGCACAATGAGCTAGGGGTGGCCCAGTTGGATGCTGCCATTGGTGAGGATGCTTTGTGCTCATCAGTGTACAGCACGTGGGTGACCCTCACTTCTGGATGACCCTCACTTCGTCGCCTGTGGGAAACTAATTGCAAAAGTGTCCCCTTGGAAAAGGGCAGCATGAAAATAGCAAACAAAGCCTCAAGCAAAATGGAAGAGAAGAACAGGACCTGTGGAGTCCTCAGAGGGACCCATCCTTTGTGAAGTTCTGGAGGTGTTGGCAAGGTGTGCACTTGAGGTGTTTGACTTACCGATAGTGGAGCTATTCCCTCTGGGGAGGTGAAGGAGTGATACGATTCTTCAGGGCTATTAGAAGCCTGAATTGCTCCTTTGTGTTAAAAGCAGGCACTCAGGAGGCCCATGTTTCAGATCAGAGCAGAACCCCTCAGGCATGGTCGCATTTATAAGTTGCTTTTGTTCACCTGAGAGACCAATAGCTCTCTGCAACATCAGCAGAGGTGGGCACTACACCTTCTTACCCAACCCTGCGGAGGGAGATATGCTGCACTGGTGTGTAGATGCTGTTGAAATGTTCGTCACGATTGCCAAAAATTATGAGTTATTTTCTTCAGTGGTGCTTTTGCTTGATTCAGCCAGATCCAAAATACGTTGTCTGCATTGCAGCCAGCGGGGCCAAACATTGAAAAAATAAATTCCCTGGGCTCCCTCAGGAGAGTGTGCTGAACTTTGTGCTTGCTGCAGCTCATGTCATCTGCAAGGATGGCTGGCAGGGTCTGCTGCATGGAGGCACCCATGTAGGTGCACAAAGCAGGCTGGCATCTCTCAGCACTGTGGCTCCTACCTGAAGTTTCCCATCCCAACCTGTTTCTAGCTGAGATCAGGATGTTGTGATTTCTGTGTGCTGTCTATTGCAATAATAATAGCATAAAAGGAGAGCTTTTGCATTGTAATCAGAAAGTTGTGTATGACAGCTAGATAGACAATGAAACAACTGTCTGTTTTTGCAGACGGAAGATAAAGAATTGCTGCTGAAGCAGTATTTGCATTGCCATTATTCTAGAGCCATATCAGAGTACTGACATCCAATTCAGTGCATCAGTTGGTGGTGAGCAGTGCTCATGGGCCAGAGGAAGAGTTGTGTAGGGCTCAGAGGAAACGTGGCTCCCATGTTTTGAACACTACTGAAATTCTCCTTTTGCATCCTCAAGGACAGACGTGATGGCTTTCCATCACCTGCAGGTCCTTGATATGAGCAGATGAAAAACATCTCCTTTCAGCAATGTTCTGTAGTCACTGGGCACAGAGATCTTTCCTCCCCTAAGCCATGAGGTTTCCTGTTCATCCATGTGGTGAAACAACTCAAAGATGAACTTGGCCATGCTGTAGTACCTGGGAACTGTGTCCTTGCCTGCATTGCTGCCTACCCACTCTGTTGGCTCCCTTAGGAGTAGAACAGGATGGGTGAGGATGCTGTTAGGGTTGCGTGCACCAGCAAAGTGAACGGCGTGCTGGTTGGGATTGGATTTATTTGCTTTCTCATTCCAATAGCTTTTTTTTTTTTTTTTTTTTTTTTTTTTTACTCCCTAGGGACCAGAAGGGAAACCAGGAAAACAGGGGGAAAAGGGCAAGCCTGGCCAGAAGGTAAGAACATCTGCCACTGATAACATTTCCTCCTCTGGATCTCATTTTCTTTGCTCATCATTGATCATAGAATCATATAATGGTGTGAGTTGGAAGGGACTTTAAGGATCATTTAGTTCCAAGCCCCCTGCAATGAACAGAACACCAACCTCCACCAGGTCAGGTTGCCATGGCCCATCCAGCCTGGCCATGCGCACCTCGAAGGATGGGGCATCCATAACTCCTCTGGATGTGCCAGCATCTCACCACCCTCACACTGGTGCCTCAGCACCCTTGTAGTTGTCTGTAGAAGCTGTGTTGTCCTGTGTTAACCTCTGTGCTTTCATTCTGCAGGGCAGCAAGGGCTACCAGGGGCAGCTTGGCGAGACAGGACCTCCAGGGAAGGAGGGGCCGAAGGGGAACCAAGGCCCTAAAGGATCCCGAGGTACCCTGGGACCTATGGTGAGAAGAGCTCTGCAAATGGTTGAACACAAGACCAGAAATGTGGTTAGCTGTGCTGGGCATGGGCCTAGAGAGCAGAGACCCCAACAGGGCCTTCAGATCAGAGGGAGTGAAATGATAGCAGATGTTAAATAGACCAAAAGAGCATAACACTTGCACTGAGCAGCAGAGGAGAGGCTCCATGATGGTGGCAGTGATGCCCCATGACCCCAGCTCACACTGCATTGTGGTGGTTCTGTACAATTCCCCAGACAGGATGAAATATTGGGGATTTTTGCTTGTAAATGGAGTGGTCTGACAGCTATTTTTGCTAAGATCTTTCCCTTTGAGACTGCACAGTCAGTGCACTTTTAAGTCAAACTGTGTTGATAGAAGGAACTCTGCCTTGGATTTCTGCCCTGCTTCTACACCCACTCTTGATCTACTTATCTAAAATAATTGCAACAAGAGGAAATATAGCATGGGAAAGAGTTTGAGTTGGGGCCTGAAGGTGAGGTTTTCAGCAACAGTAGTACAACAGGGAGGGAAGAAAGTTAATTTATGTGAGACAAATTAATTCATTACGCAGCAGTAAGTAACAAGAACCTCCTCATATATTGCAAGCTGGTAAGGAAACTTTTTGCACTTTGTTTGGTTGAACTCAGTGTAAATCAGAAGTTACTTATGAACTAGGAATGGTGGTGATGTTTCAGAACAGTAGCAAATGAATGATGGAATAAGGGTTCTGCTGATAGTGTTTTCCTGCATCAGAAATTATGTCCACCCCTGTATGTCTTCACTACTCATTGGCAACATCTCCATGGATTATTTCACAGCAAGTCGAGCAGTGTCTGAGCAGCAGTGCGTTGGACTGAGCACGTCTCTGCAGCCTGTCTTGAGGAAAGGGTTTTCTTCCACACTAAATGGGTTTATCTGGAAAGGTTGCAATCCATTTTAATCTGATGATCTGGCTTAAACCTTTTTGTGCAGATTGATAGAGATGCAACAAAGAGCTTTTGCAACGCCCTCATCGCAACGCAGAAAACTCCCTTCCTGCCCTCAGAACCCACACCGAAAGGTTTCCTCCCTGCAGTTCAGGATTAGGTCACGCATGGGATTGGTCTCACTGGTGGACTCCCTAGCACAATGCTAATCTGGATATAAAGATGTCCAAAAGGGCAGAGGAAGAATTCATACCCAGTGCATCCCACGCCTGTGGGTTACGCCTGCAGGCTGCTCTCATGGTTCTTCCTTTGCTTGCTTCTGCAGGGTGCTCCAGGAAGGATGGGTGCTCAGGGGGAGCCTGGCTTGAAAGGTTACCAGGTGAGAGCTTCATTTTCATCCTCCATCTCCTAACAGTTCTTAGCTGTAACAAATATACCACTCCAGCATGTGGCTATGTCAGAAATCCAAGCAGGACTTCGGCTCAGACTGCTCCTTCCTGTCTCCTCACGCACTGTCTGCTCTCTGCAGGGACACGCAGGACCACCAGGGCCAATTGGACCACCGGGGCCGAAGGGTGAGAAGGTAAGGCAGCAAAGCAGCTCTGCAGCGCATGCAAACCAGCACTGCTCAGCTCTGCAGCATCACCATTACAGCATCAGCACCAAAGCTTGGCCCCTGGAGGCTTGCACAGCCTGGGCAAGGGTAGAAATGGTTGTATCCTGCAGCAAAAAAACATGTGCCAGTGTTGGACTTGAAAGAGGGTCTTGCCCCAGCCATCTTCAGCACTAGATTTCCCACATCTCCAAGTTCGTGTGTGCTTGAGTTGCTGCCATCGGCGCCACAGCCAGCCGGGGAGGTTCTCAAAGCAGAGCTGGTCCCCATCGCCTTTGCCCCGCGTTCCTCCTCGCTGCTGTGACTCAGCCCAGCTGCAGCGAGGGGCTCGCCGGGGGGCGCTGGGCTGACTCAGAGCTCTCTCTGCACACCGGCTTTCCCCTTGCGTTTTTCCCCTTTTGCTGAGTCAGCGCGGCCGTAACCAGTTCAGGCTGGAGCAGTGACTCACGCTGTAATGGTTTCCTGTCGGCAGGGCTGGATGCTCCCAGGCCAACCGACCCAGCTGGCCGCGCGGTGCTGCTGGAGCCCCTCACGTGCCGCGGTAGCAGCAGCAATGCTCCTTCCCCCATTAGGGGCAGGGAGGTGGTGGAGATTGGGAACGGTCAGTGCGGGGGTCCCAGGGAAACGGAAAGATGTGTGAATTCATTTTGCTCATTTTCCACCTCCCCAGCACTGCAGCTGAGAGTTTTTGCGGGTGGTTGCAGATGGACGTGTGCAAACAGCAGCTTTGCTGCTTGCAAAAGGAGACAGTGAGACTCAGAGATCCCGAGGGCGCGTCTCGGCTGGGGCTCCGCGTGCATCGTGTCTGTGTCAGGACACCCTGCCTTCAGGGTGTCGCACTGCTCTGTCTTCAGACTCCTCGTGCTGGTGGCCAGGGGGCGATGTGGCAGGGCGAGCTGTTGTGCTCCACTATCACACATCCCCTGCCTCGGCAATTTTGCTTAAGGCACAAGCACATGCTGCTTTTTCTCTTGTTTCCTGCTGCTTCATCCACGTCTCTATCACTGCCTTGCTGGATTTCAACCCCCAGCTCCTCTCATGCTGCCCTCCCCAGTAGCACTGCTGCCTGCTGCAGCAGTGTGCCCATGTACACTAATGGGAGCCAAGCACAGCCCGGGGTGATGCAAGGGCTCACAGCCAAGCACGTTGTCCAGCTGACAGCCTGGCCAGAGGCTTCTCACAGCCCCACTGCTGACGCTTGAGCATCCTGCAAAAGTTGAGAGCTGTGACTACCAAAAGCACAGTCACCTTGGCTTTAGAGCAGGAAGAGATGTGCAGATATGTATCTGTTGCTTAAATTTTGACTACTGCTTTTCTTTTCTTGATCTCTGCACATTTTTAAATGTGCCATCTTCTTGAAAGCCATCGTCCCAAACATGAGACTTGTATTATTATCATCATTGTGGATCTTTTATTGTCAGAGCTCAGCAGCAGCATGTAACAGCTTATCCAAGAATGAGTAAACAAACTCTAATTGTCAGTTTCCAATCTGAAGCCTGGCAAAGAGTCCAGAGCATCCTGCTGAGAGCAGTCAGAGCTGTTTGTGGCCATTGATAGCCAAATCTCCCCCTGGCCCTGCAGGATGGTAGAGCTGCAGGCTGCCAGCTGCAGCCAAACCAGAAGAGCCCGGTGCCACCTGCTCAGCCTCCAGCAACACCTGCTGCACCACCCAACTGCTCCACAAAACTTGCACCTAGAAGTTTTCTTAGCCATCCTTCCTTCTTATCTCCTAAGGCTGATCCCAGCCCAAGGACAGATTTCTTCCCTTTGGACATCTCTGACCTCACACAAGCATCTCTACGTTAAAATGGAAGCCTGAATCTGAGAACAGGAGCAGAAATGGAAATAGGACTGTGGCCACTCTGTGAGCTTCAAACTGTGCTTTAAGTGTAGCTTTTGTGAAGAAGGAGAATACGTAATGGTGGGGAAGGTCTTCTCTTTTCCAGAGCAGCAAATGGGGTGGAGAAAGGCACTGTTGCAAACGCAGCTGCATTGTGCCATCCCGACCAGCTACCAGGCCACATTTAGTACATTTACAGCTCCTCAAAGAGGCCTTGCTCTGAGCAGACGCCTGCACTTGGCAGCTGCTTAAAGCAGTCCAGATGGGATCCTTTTAAAAATTACAAACTGGCGTATCTCACTTTGGGACAGGAGCCAACAATAACAAGCCTTCCCTTCTTCTCCATGCATTTTCCATTTGTATCCCAACATGTTTACTTTGCTGCCCTTTACTCTAACTTTTTTTCACTGCAACTTTCCAAAGAATTAGTGCAGACCTTTCATCTCCCTCTCGAGCAGCTGAGGCATCAGGAAGTCGTGGAGGAGCTCTGTCTCGCAGCCCTAGAGCTGACCACTGCCCCAGGATTTTCTATGAAGACAAAGCACAGAGTGGCAATTAGACTCAAGGAGACACAGAACTGCCACTCGGATTTTGGGGAGAGAGTCTGTGAGTTTTGGCACTGCACAGAATTGTGAGCCTTCCTTGAATTCATCACAGCCACCTCGGCTCTGCATGGCAAGGTGTTCACATCCTGCTGGTGCCGAGACTGCTGTACCATGACATGTCTGCTGGGATTGGTTTGGTTTCTTTTCTGAGACCTGAGAAATGGTGTCCTTGTTTCCCCTCTCTCCTGCACTCCTTTGATAGTGGCTTGAAAGTGAACCAGTTGCCAGGACTTCTGCTGCCAACTTCACCCAGCAAGTTCTTTAGCACTGGAAACTGTTGGCAGAAATCTTTAGGCATTGCTTTGCTTTTCCTCTATTCTGCCCCCAAATCTCTCCATCCGTATTGCTCAGCAGTATATTTTCAAGCCATTCTGGCACAGTTTCTTCCCACATATTTCATTTACCAACATACCTCCAAGAAGACTGGGGTTCACCACCCATCTCGTGATCTGTTATGGCCGTGCATAACCACCACCTGGGAGTTACTGGCAGTGCTCATCCAACAAATTTGGAAGCAGCAAAGGAAGAATATGCCACTGTCATCAAGCACGTAACGAAGAGAGATGTACTGAGCTCTTTTCTGCCTGTTGGGGTTAACTGCAAGAGATTGCCAAATCTCGAGTCTCATTCTATCAAGCTGCAAAGTTCAGGCCTGGTGCTCAGCCCCATGAGAAGTCAGGGTGGCTCGGCATCTCTCAGGAGTGGTATTGCTCTGGTTCCAAAGAGTGTGCCCAGTTCCTAAAGAAAATGAGCCTTGGCATCACCATGAAAGATCTTTCTCCCTGCTGGTTATTTACTGCTCCAGTTGTGTTACTGCCAAACTTCACGTATAAGCAAAGCACCCAAGCACCTCCCAGAGAAATTCCCACTGAGAAACTTCACAGGTATCCTTACCATCAGCAGCTCCAACACCAGCAGAAGAGGAGAGTAGTGGAGAGAAACTCAAAGGCAGTCATAAAGACACCAGAAAGGGTGATCCAGCTGCTGAGGATTGCAGGAGCCTGAAGGAAACATGGCTCTGCATAGCCATGCAGACTTGGGCTTTGAAGATGCCAGGAGCCCCGCGCAGAGCAAACACGGCAGCTCCACGGTGCCAGAATCCCCCAGCCCTCCTCTCTCCAGGAGCTGCACATCAAAGGAGCTGCGAGACGCTTTCGTCCCGAAGAGCCAGAGTGCCAGAGACACAGCGATAGGGAGCAGCCAAAAACCAGAGGAGCTGGAATATAGCTATCTTCTATGGGAAGCAAAGAAACAGCCATGTCTGAGCTAAACTCCAGAGCAAACAGAACACCGTGACCCCAAGTGACTTACACAATTGAATTTTAAAATGCAGCCTCTGTGTGGAGACCCTTGAGGGATCTCTCTGTGGATATTTTAGGGAGAGCTCAGTTATCTGCCAGCCCAAACCATGAGCTCTGGGCTCCTGCTGGGAGCCGTGCCATCAATGAGCAGAGATGCTCATGCAATTAGTGTGTAAGGGACCGACCCTCTCACCTGGGCAAAGGTGAGAGAAGATCAGAGAAGCCCACGGTGGGGTCACAGAAGGCGGGAGCCCAACCAGACCACTGCTGTTCCCATGGCAGCCATGGCTGCACTCAGTGAGAGCGGAGAAATGCTTGATTAAAGAGTTTGGTTTGACTGCTGGTGATAAAATTCAGAGGCAGAAGTGTTTCCCATGTTTTCCTAATTACGTGCTTCTTGCTTCGCTTTAGGAATTGTTGAGAATAACTCTGTGTACCTCGTTCCTTGGGGAGAATGGTTAGACTGGGCAGAAACCACCAGCAAAGAAATTAGGGAAGAAATATGAACAGTCAGCATGCTAGAGGACGTGAAACAAAATAATAGTGATAATTTTGACATTGTGTGGATGAAAAGTTGGTGAAATCGACACAGACTTTGAGCGAGGAGGCCCATGAGATGAGAAAACTGGATCAGGTCTAGACAGAAGCATCTGCCATATCAGCTGCAGCCTGTTAATGACGGCGTTTTCACTCACAGGGAGAACAAGGTGATGACGGGAAGGTGGAAGGCCCACAGGGACCACCCGGAGACAGAGTAAGATATTAAATCCCTTCCCTAATCAATGCTGGCCTGGGTTTTGCCAGGGGATGAGCTGACTTGCTTCTTTACTTATGCAGCATACAAAAGGCATCGAGATTCTGCGGATAACAGGACTTTTAACATCTAACTTACGCCTTTGTTGTGTTGCTGCAGGGTCCTGTTGGTGACAGAGGAGATCGAGGGGAGCCTGGAGACCCTGGTTATCCTGTGAGTCGTATTCCCAGTATGTGATTCAGAAATGATTGTCTTGGGAAGGTTTGTGGTTATCAAGGAGATACCCTGGAGAAGGTGTGTGTGAGACAGGTCATGTAATGCCAGACAAAACTCAAGACTTGATGTGCCACAGACAGAACTCAAGACTTGATGTGCCAATGGCTGCAGATTGTTTCACAGAAAGATCTCTGTTAATTCAGATATTTTGAAGCTTCCAAAACCTTAACAGGATTTCTTTCAAAAGCAGAGCTGTGAGGATTCCCTTTATGTGGGACGTAACGGGGGTTGATCTGTAAAGGTTCTATGGGCTTTCTCACCTCCATCCAAAATCCAGTTGCTGTAATTGATCAGAGCAACCCATTTCAGGAACCCAGCAGAGCAGCACTGTTGCTGCTGTATTTTGTAGGACAGCAGCCTACAACTGTTAGCTTAAACTGATGCTGTGTGTATTAGAAGATACTCCTTCCTGCTTACACAGTGACAAGCAGTTCCTCTGAGCTACTTCTTTCCAGTGTGCATCCACAGTAGCACGTACATTACCCATGAGCATCAACATTTGTGCATTAGCAGAATGCAGATATATTTATCTTCCCCTGCCCTGCTCTGCATGCTGTGTTTGTTCATCATTGCCACAAAGATATCTAAGGACAAACAAATGTTCCCTCTCTTGTTTTATTTAAGGGCCAAGAAGGGCTTGATGGAGAAAGAGGAAAACCTGGACAGCAAGGCTTACCTGTAAGAAATGCTGCTTTATTGTAAGCTACACAGTGTCACATGCATGTGAAAAACAGATGCAGGAGGGTAGGAAGGGCTGTAGTAGGGGATGTGTGCTGAGCTGTGACATGCAGCGTGTGCATTTCCATAACCCACACCTCTGAAATGGACAATTTGAGCCATGTGTTGAGACCGAAAAATAGGTGATAGAACAGGAGGCGCCCCCAATAGCCTACCCCTGGAACAGTATTTCTGAACAGGCCAGGAGGGATTTGAAAGCTTAGGAGATGAGCAGTGCAAGATGGCCGTGATGCTGGAAGGGTCCACTTGGAAATGGTGCATTTGAGGAGAGCTGCTCCAGTGTGGGGCCATTTCATTCAGCCTGCATGGCATTTCCTCTCAGCACACAAAAATCCAGAAGACCAGAAGAAGGGATGAAAGCATGTGTGATGGGGGATGGAGGGATGTGCGATGGTGAATTGCTTCACTTCTCCATCAGGGTTGCTCCCTGATGTCTGACATCCAGGCCAAACCAAGGAAAGGGCTGCAGCATGCAGAAGAGAGGTAGTACCAGTATGGGGATGTGCTCGCCGTATGGAGCACTCGTTCTGCACGTAGCTTTTGCAGGGCCTTTCCCAAACCAGGCTCCTTCCTCCTCACTTCTCAGCACGGTTTTCCAGGCACGGTCTGGAATTTAGCAAACCGATTCCCCAAACATGAGCACCACCCAAGTGAGGGGGTAGCGCTGCTTCTTCTCCAGTTGATACCCTGTTAAATGCTCTCTGGAGACAATTCCTTGCTCTCTTTCCCCCAGGAGGCCTGTCTGAGCACAGGCTGTTCCCGTGAATTGTTTCCATACGGTCAGTGTTGTTAGGGCACAAAAAAATGCTGTTCTTTCTACTTCGTGCAAGATATTGCCAGATGAGAATTTCAAGCAGATTTTTCATGCTTGTGTTTTGTAGGGGAATCCTGGACCACCAGGCCAGCCAGGAGCAAAGGGATCCAAAGGTGATGTGGTAGGTTTCAGCAGGGTGGATTTGTAGCATCCTAAGTTTGAAGAAGATGTCTGATGAAGAGAACTCGAATGTTTTGTGTGTGATTTGGCCAAAGGTCTATACCTTGAAAGACTGTGGGAAGCCCTAGTGGGAGGGCTGCAAGTATGTGTTTAAGTGTCCAACCCCAATGGCTGGTTGGCTTCATGGAGCTGGAGTGGACCAAGACAATAGCAGCTCCAAATGGAAGGTGAATCTGGGGCACGACTTTGGTCATGGCCATCACTGTGTCTCTTTCCCATAACCCTGCATGTGCTGCTACAGCCACAGCTAGCTGGTCTGCCCCTAAGGAGATCTGAGCCAGGCAAGTTCCTTCACTTGAACCATAAACTTTTCTGGCTTGAAACTTTCCATATGGTTCTTCTCTTTCCTGGAAGAGACCTTCTAACTTCTTGCCTTTACTGAGCAAGAAAACACAGCACACACAGCTCCTTTGAGGTTCAGTGTGGTACCCACTCTGACTTCCACATCTGGTTGTAATGACAGCATGCTAATTATTCTCACAGATAGGGCCTTTATTTGCTAAAATGTAAGTATTCAGTACTCAATATTCAGGAAATTCCTGTTCCCTGATGGCAGATGTCAGGATTTTTAATCCGACCCCACTGGGATAATGGCAGAAGATGGTCTGCAGTAGGTGTTCCTGGCAAGGAGTGTACCAGCTGATGAGATTAATGAACTCTACCTAGTGCTGGATGACCTGGAACTACCTTTGGGAGTAATGGATAGCAGAGGAAGCACCCCCAGGAGTATTAATTTCATGTAGCTGTCCTGCCTGGTCCTCTGCAGATGGAGAAACAGTGCACAGGAAAAGCAGTGCTTCAGTTTGAAAGTGCTTTAATGCGTGACCTGACTAAGAGAGGCCTAGTGAAGGTGATGAGGCTGAGTTTTCCATTCATTCCACAGAAATTAATCCATTCTACAGCTAATAACCCTCAGGAGTATTTCTTTTATGTCTTTATTCACAAAGCAGCATTGCAAATTTCAGACACAAGATACCCCTTTCATTTCCATTAACTCTCCAAAATAAGAGGGAGATACTTAGGAGAGAAATGCTCTCACTGAGTGCCTGCAGAAGACTTGCCAGTGCCGTGGGTCTGTGCTGTGCTTCAATGAACTGACAGAGGATGCAGGTTTCGAGCATCTTGTTCTAATGTTTGCCAGTGCATTGAGTCCTCCCTCGAGTTCATCCTGCTTTATTTGTCCTCATCTGCTCTGTATTAGGAAAAATGTAGGTCCTTGCCTTCTAGCTATTCATTCCTGCCCTAGAACTCTCGAGACATACGAAGAATCACTTGTAATAAAACCAAATAGCAGTTCATTCTCCAGTGCTGGAGCAACTGACTTTATGAATCTCCTTTTTATAAAACTCTTTCCAACCATTATCCAAAATCACACCCTGAAGTCAGGCGCCCAAGTGGACTTGTGCTGGAACTGCTGCAATTTTAGATGTATTTCTTTCTTTGCAGGGTCAAAAAGGAAAGCAAGGAGCACGAGGCAGTGCAGGGAGCAGAGGCTCACCGGTAGGTTAAAAAAAAAAAATCCATTTTTTGCCCCAAAAATGCTGTCTAGGAGCCCCGTCACTGACATATTTGTGATTTTAGGGCATCCTTGGGCTACCTGGTCCTCGAGGAGTGGTGGGAAGGCAGGGCCAAGAGGGTGCTCCTGGAGTGGATGGAGTGCCTGGGAAGGATGGCGTGCCTGGGGTGCTGGTGAGTTTGCAGCTGTAACCTCATAGCATTAATAGCAAGTGCAACTTAAGAGCTGGAAAACCAAAAGGTAACGTAGGAGAAATGGATGTAGTCCAGCTACAAATATCCCAGTTTCCAGATACCCAGAGAAGATCATATGTTGCTCATTGTGTCTCACTTTACCTTTGCCTGGTGAAGTCCGTAAACAAACCAATGCATCCAGTCTGACAAACAGCTTCTTGCATGCACGTATCTGCAAGTCCTCCCACGCCCAGATGCATGCTTGCTGGCTGAGGGCAGATTCATACCACTCCTCCATGCTAGAAGATGTGCAGAGCTGGAGAGAGCGCTTTGTTTCATAACCTCTCCTGTGTTTTTTTTTCTAGGGAGAGCAGGGAGATGATGGGGAAGAAGGAGTAACAGGGATGGCCGGCAAAAGAGGGAACCCCGGCGTGCCAGGACTGCCTGGGGCACAGGGACCACCAGGGTTCAAGGTGAGTTTCGACTCAAGATACTGCTGTGAGCAATGCAGTCTGTGAGCCTGGTGCATCTAGAGCTTGAGTTCACCAAGGTCCAACAAAGCCTGAGTTCCTGCTGCCATCTTTCACTTAGCTGGAGGCTCAGCAGCTGATTCTCTGTCTATCCATCCATCCATCCATCCATCCACCCATCCACCCATCCACCCATCCATCCATCCACCCATCCA